TGGGAGGCTAAATATCTTGTCCAAGTTCCTACAGCTAAAGAGTGGTTCACCTGACCTTTTGTTTTATGCGCATAGGTTGTCAGAAGTTGGCTTGGCATTATTAGAATGTATAGACGGCGATGTGACCCCTTCCTCCACGCCCCTGCACCCCTCTGCTGGGATGTGACATTTCCCGTGCGTGTTTCACGGAGAGGCCCTCCTGCCTCCTCTCTCCAAGCCTGAGTGCAGCCGGGGCCTTGTCCACCGGGCAACTGTCCAGAGAGCTCTAGCCACCGTGCAGGAGGAGATGTGTGAGCCCCATGCAGAAGGAAAGAGCATCAAGCAGCTGCAAGTCTGTCAGCTGAGAAAACAGCATGAAGGGGAGGGGTGGGTGGCTGAGTGTTCTCCTTGGATTCAGACGTTTTGTGAGCCAACATGCTCTTGGAGCATGGCTCACAGAGACAGGGCAACTTGAAGGAGATCCAGTTATGCACCTGGAGAGTTGCTGGAAATGCCAGACCTCTGCTATTCAATCCCTTTTTACAGCTCACGCAAGAATCCCACACCAGGCTTGACTTGAGGTTCTGAAATGGGACATGGGGAACCAGATGCCTTTCATGTCGGGCTGTGGCTTGGCTGGTGGGGAGCCCGGGGCCCGACTTGATGGAAGTTTCAAACAGAATTCAGTGACAGGTTGGTTGCTCTCTCTGCTAAGGTCTCCCTGTCTGCCTTCTGTGGGCAGTATGGGCTGTGGCATCTTTGTCTCTGGATCCCCAGCACCTGGCTCCACAGCCGGCACATAGTAGGCACTTATGGGAGATGTCTGGGCAAAAGAGAGAAGTCCAGTGTGGACTCAGGAACCAGGCAGCAATGTTGCTTCTGTACTGATGTGGGGGCTATTTCATCTTGTTGGCTCTTGGTCCTTCATCTCAGAGATGCTGGCGGGAGTACCTTTCAGTAGAATTGTAAAGAAAGAATCAAAAGGGCTATAATGGGTCTGAGAGTGCTTTGTGTGGAAAAAAACCCTCAGTGCAGTTGGGGTGGGGGGAGAGCATTTCTGCCTGTGGTTTGCATCATTCCCAAGCCCTGTGGGAGCAGGGGAGGGACGGCGCTGTTATTTTGATGTAGGAATTGAATATGAGATGTTCCATCTGGGGCCATGGTCACAGATCACCCATTCATTCACTTAGTGAACATCTACAGAGCACCTACTGTGTTCTAGGTGTTGCCTCAGGCGCTGGGGACACAGACATGAGTCAACACTTTAGGAACTGCCCCGCAGAGAGGGCGGCCCTGCAGAGGATACTGGGTGGTGCCGGTGGCTGTGGGAACGCACAGAAGGAAGCTGCCTGGTAGGCAATGATGGAGGGGCCTCCGGGGGCCTGTTGCAGAATTCTCTCTAGGCACAGTGAGGGGGGCACCGGGGTATTTAGCAGGTTGAGACAGACCCCTGAGACTCGCTTCTGGTCTGAGAAGGGCCATGCTGATCCTATCGGGAAGGTCAGTGGTACCAGTCCACGCCTCTGGCTGCCTGGCTGAGTCCTGCCTACCTGCCTGTCTTTCCAGCTCTCTTCCTCTTTTAGAACTTAATACCCTGGACAACGTGGGCTCTGCTAAAAGGTGGGAAGGGCTTGTGGAAGAGCACAGACTTGGGAGTCATATTATCCTGGCTGAATACCTACTATGTGCCAGACACTGTGCACAATGAATAATGGAGCTTAGCTGTCAGGTAGTAGATAATATTAAGACAGAGAAGCAGTGACTGACAGACATGTGGCACCTTGTTGTGTCCAAGAACAAAGTGTTAGTCTCAGAGCCACCCCCACACCCTCACTCCCCACCCCCTGCCCTCCAGCCCAGCTCTCTGGTCTGCCCATTGCTAACAGGTCACCAAGCCAAACCTAAGGTTACAGGGCCAAGGCAAGTGGATAAGTAAAAAGAGCACATTTACGGTGAGCCAAGGCTGACTGCAAAGAGGATCCCCTTAGGTGTCTGTCACCAGATGTGGGGAGCAGGACCCAGGAGATGTCCTCTGCTTTTAAGGAGGAAAGAAGCCGAGAAAAAGTGAAGGAGAAAATGTGGTCACAAACTGTCCACAGTTCTGTTACCATTTTCTTCTGCTGCCTCCAATCTCTGGTTGTGAGCTTACTGACCTGATTCCTGCTGCCCCAAGTCTGTGCCAGCGCCCAGGCAAGGCAGACTGGGGGTAGCACGTGTTCAAGGCACAGCAGCCCAGATGCACTGGGATGTGGCCCTGAGTCCTGCCACATCTGGATGTTGTGGGGAGCAGGACATTCCTACTCTATGTTCTGATTACTTATGAGATGATGAATGTACCTGGCAGAGGATGTACCTGGGTTGGCGGTCCCTGACCCAAGTTCTTTTTACAGTTGCTTTCCTGATCCTGTGCCTCATGTGCACTTCTAACTGCTGCACTTCTAACTTACAGGAATATGTTACCTGCTTGGTTTTTCCTGTGGCTGTGCTAGATCTCTTCTGGAGCATTCCTTGGCTATTCTTGTATAAGAAGTTTGTATTACCCTTGCTGGATATTTCTGCTCAGTCGAACTTCACCTTTCTCTCACCCTCCTAACACCTATTCCCAGGGCTTGGGCAGGCTTCACTTCCCACTGTGAGTGTGTTTTATACCTGGATGACCAACCCTGAGATAAGATATGAGTCACTCCTTGCACCTGCCTCATTACCCGCCTGTTGGGAATTGCCTTTTTTTTTTTTTTTTTGAGAAGGTGTGGGATGAGGTGGGGAGAGGAGGAAATCAGAAATGTGCTCTCTTGTGTTCCTGGTTAATTTCACATTATTCTACAGGGCTGCATTGAAAACAATGCATCAGTAAAAAACCATGATGGTTTATGATGTTTGCACAGGAAAAGCAGATGTTCCAATTAATGCCAGGGTTGAAAATAATCCCAGGGTGGGCTGATTCTAAAAGCTGATCAAGAAAAGGTCAAATAGGTAAGTACCCACACTGCACTGAAATCCTCAGACCCTGTTCCTACTGATTTCATGCTTTCTCATTAAAAACGTATTTCAGCCTTTCTAGGAAATGCCCAGAGAATGTCATTGTCTTCTAGTCTTCCCAAGGGCTGGTCTTAGAGGTTGAGTAGCATGTAATTTAGTAGCATCACAAACCATCACCGATTCAGAAATGCAGAGGGTTTCTGGTAGTTTAATCAGATTGCTTTCCTGGCATGTGGAATCAAGACCTGGATGACAGGTATGCAGCGTGCATGATGCCACTCTCCTTCATAGGTGCCATTGATTGACTGACCACAGCACTCTTTTTCTCTGGGCCTGACACTCTTTTTTATCCAGCCGAACAATTTTGGTTGCCACTATGAGTCTATTCAATGAATAAGCAAAAGATGAATCCTGTTGCCATCCTGTGCCAGAAGAATGGAAGTTCTGCTGGTGGTGCCAGTGTTTCTGTGACAAGGGGCAATTCTTGAAAGTGGGGGAAGATTGGGGCAATATGAGGGGCACAACTTTTGGGAGTTAAGGTAGAAGGGCCTCTAGATGGTGACTGAGGCAGAGGCAGGACTGCGTACTACAAGATGTCGCTTTGACTTGGCTTTGGTACTAGGATAGAGCATGCATAAGCCTTGGAGTCAAATCCCATTTCTGGCATTTACTAGCTCTTTAAATTGCACTAATAGTTGGTGAGTCTCCCCATGTCTCAGATTAGTAGACCAGACCCCTAGGAGACTGTAATTTTTGTTGTACCACAGTTCCTGGATTTATGATCCAAATATCAAAGGACCTGAGAGATTAGGAGCTTTCAAAATGGAAAACAAAGCATTCTTTAGTTCATTTGATAGCCAATGAGCAACTAATACAGGTCAAATACGCTGCTAGGTCCTGGGAATACAAAGATAAATAAGAAGTGGACACTGCCTTCAGGGAGTTCCTGAGCTACCTGGGTAGAAATGGAGATAAAACAGCTTCAGATCATCAGGGAGATAGAGCGGCTATAAGACCACCATTGATCAATTTACAGAATTCAGCTTTTGAGGGACATTTATATGAAGCAAGTTCCACCCGTGTAGGATTCGCTCCAACCCGTCATCCCTGTTGATCTGCGTGTATTTTCACCAGGGCCTCCTTTTAGCTACTGCATGCTGTCTGCCTCCCCCCTGCCCAACCCCCTCCTCATCTCCTCACTTCCAAATCAGGACTTGGACTGTATAAGGCAGATGAGGTGTCTAGGGCATGGAACTTAAGGAGGCACTCACTTCCTGGGGCTGCAGTCACACCCACCTTTTGAAAGTGAGCACCTCCTTAAGTTTTTCACCCCAGGCTCCCTGCTGCAGACAAAGCCAGATGAAGATAGGAGTGGACACATTTGTCATGAGAGTGGCATGACAACTGGTTCTCACAATAAGCTTGCAAAAGAGAGACTGTTGTTCAATTTTCAGATGAAGAAACTGAGGCTTATAGAAGGTGAACGACTTTAGAGGCATCATGGAGCAGTGGAATGTATACAGGAGTAGTGGAAGATCACACACGGGCTTATTTACTAGGACACACCCAGGGGTGGACCTTGGGCCAGTTACTTATGTTCTCTGAACTTCTTGTTCTTCATCTGAAGAATGGGGATAATAGTGACTCTCAGGATTAGAAGGTGACCAGCACTTGCAGTTTCTGGTTCCATGACTCTGCTTTCCCATGTGTCCAATGGACTGGCCACACCTGCCTCACAGAATTGCCAGAGGCACCAAATGAGATGATGGGTGTGCCCACCCCGAGTGAGTTCTCAAGAGCTATTGGCAAGATGAAATGTCAGTTCCTTAGACTTTGCTGAATCTTCAGCCCTGTAAACTGTTCTCTTGGGGGTCTTACGGGGGTGAACATTTGTTTGGTGAGCCTTTGGGAGATTCCTGATAATAGCTGCAGATCTTCCCTAGAGTGATAATTGAGACTGAATACCTGCTACCTTGATGCAATTATGTCATGATCCCATTCAAACCTCCTGGCAACCCTGCTTTTATTACTCTCATTGTTAGGGAAGAAGCAACAGAATCCACAAGAGGCTAAAACCACTCATGCAGCAAGGCAGAGGCAGAGCAGGGTCTCCGCCCCATCTATTGGATGAAGAAGCCTCTGTGCATCCCACTATGAAACAGCCACCAAAATAATATTTCTCAGCAATGGAGCAAAACCTATGATTTGCATCTGAGCATGTTCCAACACGCCAGGATATACATGAGACTGAATGTAAGCCAGTGCATGAGACCTGGTGAGTACCAGCTGCTTCCTAAGCGTGGCAGAGGGATGGCTTGAGGCTCTGCAGGGTGGCCCAGTGGTCTCGCTGAGTCACGTTATGAGTCTTTGCTGTATCCCCAAAGTTCAGCTGAAGTTCCACAACCCTGTTCCCCAAACACTGGAGAAACGAGGGGCAGGTTAGCAGCTCTCTGCAGGTTTAAGTCTTGTAGCTCCTACCTTGAGAACATTTCCGCCCCTACCCTCTAGTGTTAGCCATGTGCCAAGATGGCACTGCTCATCTCTTCCGGTTACCTGCCACAGCCTCCTGCACGGTGCCCCCCGGCCCCCACTCTTTTCTCCCTCATTCATTCCGCACACAGTGGCTACAGGATCTTTCTGGAAGGCAGACTCCCTGCTTAAAACCTTCCACTGCTGCAGAACCGTTGGTTGGGATGACATACAAGGATGCCGATGACCTGGATCTCACACATCTGCTTCCAGCCCCTTCTCTCTTGCACCCCCTGAGTCATCTCTGCCCAACTATGCTCTTCTTCACATATGCCATACTACTTCATGTCTCTGTGCTGGCAGACATGCTGATTCTTCTGCTCAGGACCCCTCCCCACTCTTCTATTTGGATAGCTCTTATTCTTTGTGTCTCAGCTGGGCACCACCTCCTCCTGAAAGCCTTCCCTGACTATCCACCCTTCTTTTCAGAATGGGTTAGGTCCCCCATTGGGACCTTGACAGCACTCTGCCTCACCTCCATTGCATCACACCAGGTGGTCTACTAACTCCTCCTTGAACTGTAGACCTTAGTTGGCCCTTCCAAACTAGGGTCGTGTCTGAGGAAGGGATCCTCTTTCATGTACCCTGTACTTTCCCTTCATGCCCTCATTACTTGTGTGTTTGTGTGGGCATTGGGTTGATATCCATCTCTCCACACTGGATTATAAGGTTTAGGCAGTCTGGATCTCTTACTTTCTGGGTTCCCTGGGGAGCTGGCAGGAGATGGAGGCCTGCATGCAGGAGGTTCATCACGTGAGCCAGCGTTCTCAAGATCGGCAGGTACATACCACATCCACAAGGGAGCTAAGGAGCCAGGAGAAGTCCGCTGACTCATGAGGAATTGGGGTGGCCCTTCAGGGTTGTTTTGAATTGAGACAAGGGGCCAGCTATTCCACGCTTACTGGGTTTGGGCCCCTCCTGGGAAGAGGACAGAACCCTGATTGGGGTACCTTTTTGCACTAGAGGACAGTTCCCAGAGAGGGAATTTCTGGACTTGAGAGCTGTCCACTGCCAGTGCGCCAGTCACTGGGTGGGTGAGCGGCTCAGTCCTGCAAGGGTGAGCATCTGCCCATCATGCTGCCATGGTCCCTGTATTGGTCCCAGTTCCAGGGGCTGAGCAGGGAACCAACACATGCCAGACAGATGCCAAAATAGATGCATCCATTTATTTGTTTTTCTGTTCTCCACACTGTGGGGCTGTGTCTTCCTTATTTCTCCCAGGACTCCATGCAGAGCCCCACTTCTCACAGGTACTCCATAGAAGTTTATTGAATGAATGATTAAAGGAGAAAGACTAAAAGAAACAATGCTGCCATTTGTTTCATAAGGAAAGATAAATTTGCATACAACTTTGCTGTTCCAAGCCTGCATCAAGTGAGTACATCTGTATGGCCCCATCTCATGAGCCAGGTCTCCTCAAAGTAGAAAATTTAGCAGGTGAGCAGGGCCTCCCACAGCAAACCTCTGCTTACCAATGCTCCAGGTTGAATGGGCCAGGGAGAGATTTGGTAAGGAGGAGAACCAAGTCTCCTTTTAACAATGTCGGCAGCCAGGCCTCCATCATCCAAAAACAGAGAAGAAATGGCTGGAGGAACTGGGGATAATTAGAGTGGAAATGAGCATACTTAAGGAGGACCACAGCTGCTATCTACAAATATTTGAAGGGATACCATTTGGAGGAGGGAGTATTATTCCCTACCCCTGTGGGGAATAGTTCTAAGGTTTCAGCTGGCCGTAGGAAAAGAACTTAATTAAAATGTCCAACAGTAATCTTTATGCAGAGATGGACATAAATCTCTATCATAAAGACATAGTTACAGAAGTATATCCATTTGTTGAAGTAATATAGGTAAGACATATGCATTTCAATGTGCATACACTTCATAACTGAAAGGAAATGTTAAATCATCATTATCATCATTATTATCATCCTTAAATGAGGGATGGAGGGGAGCAGAGGTACAGAGGAAACACGAACATCAAAATGTTAATGTGGTTTGATCTGGATGGCGGGCACATGGGACTCATTATATTATTCTGTTTACTTTGTATATGTGTGAATATTTTCATAATAAAAAATAGATATATGTTAGTTAATTTTTCAAGTTTATTTATTTACTTTGAGAGAGGAAGAGAGAAAGAGAACAAAAGCAGGGGAGGGGCAGAGAGAGAGGGAGGGAGAATCCCAAGCAGGCTCCATGCCACCAGTGCAGAGTCCAATGTGGGGCTCGAACTCTCCAACTGAGAGGGCATGACCTGAGCTGAAATCAAGAGCTGGATGCTTAACCAACTGAGCCACCCAGGCATCCAGATGTATGTTAACTGTTAAACAAAGTTGAATCAAAAGGGCTGTGTTGGGAGACAGTGGGCTTCCTGTCACCAGAAGTTTTTATGCAAACACCATGCGCAACCTCTCAACACCCTCACCCCGTAAGAACCTGGGAAGTGGAGCATGTTGCCAAGAGCAGGAGACTGGACCAGACACTCTTGGTCAAGACCCTCACTCTTTGCTTCCTGAGGGAGGGGGGCTGGCTGAGGGTCTGGAGAGAGCTAGATTCTTCAGAGCTAGGAACCAGAGCCAGAGATCCTCACTCCAGATGGTGGGAGATGCTGGGGTGGAGGCAAGGCAGATACCTAAGGTGTCTGGAAAGGCCTCTGCACCTGCCGGGAGGTGAGTAGATGGAACGGGGGAAGATCCAAGTCACAGAAAGGACTCACAGGTTTGCAAAGTAGTCTTAATCAGGGACAGTGTGAATTTTGGGGCTCAGATCCATATGCCATTGCTAGTAGCTGTGTGACTTCACCAAGGCACTCAACTGCTATAAGCTTTAGTTTTCTTATCTGGAAAATGGTAGTTGTGAGAATTAAGTTAATATAGACAGTCATGCTCATTATGGTCATCACTGTGTACAAGGGGGAGGTGAGCCTAAGTCAAGGCAAGTGCCAATGGGGAGAAGGAACTAGGACTTGAAGGCCAGTCTCAGACATCAGCCACCGCTGGAGGGCCACATTTAGGGCTAAAGAGGGGAGGGTGTCTGAATGGGTCAGCCTGGCTTAAAAGACAGGGGGAAAATTTGCAATGACCTTTCCATTGATAAAATTCTGGGATTCTCAAGGGATCCCAAGTGATTTTCTGGAGTAATGCGGGGGGTTTCTACACTCCAGCCTATTCTCATCCTTGTAAAAGTGCCTGGTGCTGGATGGTTGTGTGTCCATGCTGCCAGGACAGTCTCCCTTAGGCAGCTCACATGGTCCCCAGACCACTCAGCTGCATCTGTGACCCCATCCCAGACTCTGGCCAGTCCCAACTGGGCCCAGAGTCACACTTAGTGAACCCTCTAGATAAGAAAGGCATCTTCAGCTCTCTATCTCAGCTCCTGGTACACAATGAGTGTCTAATAAATGATGCTGAGTAAACAAGTAGGTGCTTGAGCTATATGTGGGGACAGGTGCCTTAGCCAGGCCTGCCCACTCCAGGGCTTGTGTCCGTGGAGGGCCCATAAGGATGGAGGAACAGCCCACTCCCCGCCAGCTGGGCCCACGGAGCCCCCAAGAGGCCCACTGGCAGCTACTGTCAGCAGGTGGCGCCCTTGGCAGATGGCAGCAGCTTCTTCATTTTTCCAAAAGGCTCAGAGTGCCGGTCACCCAGGCCACCCACCGAAGGCACCATACATCAGAAGCCTAATGGTGCATTTTAGAACATAAGTGGTAACCACCCAATGGGACCCGTGAAGGGAATTAAAGCCAGATGCACAGTGGGGAGGGAAAAAATTTTGAGAAGAGACTCAGAGGAAATGGGGCTAGATCCTAGGCAGGAAAAGGCATCTCTTAAGAATCCACTGGCCAGGGGAGTTTATTTCATTTAAAATCTGTGCCCTTTATGGGGAGAGCTGGGCTGGACACTGGGACCCTGGTCCATCAGCAGTTTCTGGACTGGATCCACCTGGCCTGGCCCTGACCACAGCATTCTGAAATGCTCTGTGAGCTCCTCCTGGCCACTAACTCAGTTTTCCATTCAATAAGTATTTTTGCATACCTACTATGTGGCATGAGGTTATGTACCATGGCATTTAAACTCATGGGTTGAGGACCAAGGTGCTTGGATTCAAATGCTGGTTCTGCCCCTGACCCAGGGACTAAGTTAACTTTCCCCTGCCTTAGTTCTTCCTTGTAACAATGTCCACCTTATAAAGCTGTCATGAGGTTAAATGAGACAATAGGGGAAAAGGGTTTAGGGCAGTGGTGAATACATCCTCAAGGGTCTCTGCCCACCTGCGGACACTCTCTAACATTTGAGTGGAGGGGACAGCGGGCCACGTGTTTCATACACATGTGCATGCATGCATATGGACACATAAATGCACCACACAGGCACACACACATGCACAGGTACACACATATCATCTAGAGTCCCCGGCAGAAACCCATTTTCTAGGTAGGTAGGTAAAGTTTTCCAGATCCTTTCACGGAGAGGTGGCTATTCCTGGGTCTTGGCTTTATGCAGGCATCTTGGTTCCAGGGCTCTCTCATTTCTGGCATATGGAGTTTCCCTCTCTTTAGAGCTTGGCTCTGCATTAAATTTTTTAAAACTTGTACTCTGTCCTGCATTTCTATGTGTGTGTAGTGGAAGATAGGATTGTGTTGGCTCAGTCCATCATGGAGATGGAACTAGAAATCGTGACTGGAATTTTGATTTTATTTGCTCATGTCCTCCCTTGTTCACAAAGTTTTTGAGGTTGTTATAAT